TTCTTTGAGCTATCCCAGCTTTCTTTTTGTTAGCAGTTTTCTCAATCTCTTTTTTAATTGAAGTAAAAAAAATAAAATTACCTTAACCACTTCTAAGTGTTCCATGAACATGGTACATCTATTTTTGAAGGTCTTTTTGATTTATCTGTTGTATATTCAGCAGACCTTTTACATATTTTGTAAAACTTTCATCTATTTCCTGGATTTTGTCGCTTGCTAAATCACTTAATTCTAGTAGCTTTTTTTTGGTAGATTCTTGGGATTTTCCACCCAGTCATGTTGTTTGTGAATAAAGAAAGCTTGCTTTCTTTCTCATCTGTATTGTCTTCCTATTTTTACTGTGTTACCACACTGGCTAGGATCTAAGGTATATTGTCGAATAGGAGCAGAGAAAGAGGAGAGTATGTATGATTTCAATTTCTTGAAATCTGCCAGAAGTTATGGCTCAGCATAATGGTCACTTTGGGTCCTTGTTCCACATGAGCTTCCAAAGAATGTAGATTGTATTCTGAAGTTAAGTTTCTTTCAACTGGGTGCAATGGCTCACACCTGTAATCCCAGCACTGTGGGAGGCTGAGGCGAGTGGATCACCCGAGGTCAGGAGCTCAAGACCAGACTGACCAATACGGTGAAACCCCATCTCTACTAAATACAAAAAATTAGCCAGGCATGGTGGTGCATTCTTGTAATCCTAGCTACTTGGGAGGCTGAGGCAGGAGAATCACTTAAACCCAGGAGGTGGAGGTAGTAGTGAGCCAAGATTGCACCACTGCACTCCAGCCTGGGCAACAAGAGCGAAACTCCATCTCAAAAACAAAAAAAGTATCTCTTTCTGTCTCTATACACACACCTATATATGTGAGTATACATATGAGTCAAATCACACTTGTTCACTGTACTAAAATTGTCTCTATCTTATTGCATGTTTTCTTGTTTTATTAAGAGGTGTGTTAAAATCCCACTATGACCTTGGACTTGTCCATTTCTTTTTGTGGTTTTGTCCATGTTTGCTTCATGTTTTTGAAGTGCGTATCAACTTAGAATTGCTTTATTCTCCTGGTTAACCGAATCTTTTTTTTTTTTTTGGATGTATGTTTTTTGTTATTGTTTCTGAGACTGAGTCTCACTCTGTTGCCCAGGCTGGAGTGCAGTGGCACGATCTTGGCTTACTGCAGCCTCCGCCTTCCAGGTTCAAGCAATTCTCCTGTCTCAGCCTCTCAAGTGTCTGGGGACCACAGGTTTGCAGCACCATGCCCAGCTAATTTTTTTTTTTTTTTTTTTTTTTTTTTGTATTTTTAGTAGAGATGGGGTTTTGTAATGTTGGCCAGGCCCTTCTCAAACTCCTGACCTCAGGTGTTCTGCCGGCCTCGGCCTCCCAAAGTGCTGGGATTACAGGTGTGAGCCACCACGTCTGGGCCTGAATATCTTTAGGAGATACCCTCTTTAACTCCAAGTAATACTTTTTGCCTGAAGGCTACTTTTCTAAAACTAATGTAACAATGCCAACTGTTGGCTGCGGTATCCTCCTTCCTCACTGGTCTTTGAGTTTCTCCCAGTTTGTCTAGTACATAGTAGGAAACAATCAGTAAATGTTAATATGACTGACAATTTTTATTCTTAAAATGTGAAATAACCAAATGTGTGATTGTGTTTTTGTATAGCCATAAACGATATTTTGTTTTTGATCTTCATCTAAATGGACTCAAATTATACTTTTTAAAAACTCACTGCTGTTTTGAGATTCAACAATGTTTTATTACTCATTGAATTCTTACTGCTCTATAGGATTCCATTATATAAGTAAACCCCAGGAGCTCTCATGCAGACCCATACCTTAAAATACTGTCTTCTACATTTCTCTCTCTAGTCTTGACCTTTCCTTTGAGTTCCAGACTTCTGTATCTGCCTGCCTACTCTGTACCCTTACTTTGATACATTTAACAGGCACCTCAAATTTAACATGAAAAAAACGGAATTCTTTACTTCCTACTTTCCACCTCCACCCACCCGCAATTTACTCCCTTTTCAGTCTTCCCCATCTCCCCCATGATATATACCATTTACCCAGCTGTACGAGAATCAAAACTAAGATGGAAACACATGTACTTTTATCTTGAGGCATAGCAAGGAGGGCATACTGACTTGATTGGAGGTAAACATAGTTGGATATGACAGGAGACAAAGTCAGAGGGATGGGCAAGGGCCACAACTTGTAGGGCTTATAGTAAGGAATTCTGATTTGGTCTGAGGACGACAAGATGACACTGGAGGATTCGGCAAGTAGGAAGACCAGTAAGACAACAGTAGTCTAGGAGAGGCAAGGTGGTGGTGGGAACTGTTGTAACCAAGCAAGTTACAGAGAAACGCCACACTTTGAGACCAATTCAGGAGTCCTTTATTAGCCAGCGACCGGGAGATGGCTAGCGCTCAAAATTCTCTCAGCCTTGAAGAAGGCGCTAGATTTTCCTTCACACTCTGGCTTAGAGAGGGGAGGGAGACCCTAGCTGTAGCAATCTTACAGAAGTAAAACAGGTAAAAAAGTTAAAAAGACCAACGGTTACAGGAAAACAAACAGTTCCAAGTGCAGGGGCTTTAAATTCATCACAAGGTGATAGGTGTGGGGGCTCTGGGTGTTATCTGCCAGACACAAACATGGGAGCTTTAGAGTACTATCACCAGAGCGACTTCCTGGGAACTGTGGACATAGCTTGCCACTACTGTTAACTTATCAGTTAACTGCACTCTTTGATGTGCTGGGAGTCAGCTTGCACAAGTTAAGTCCTTGAGGAAGCGGGTGGGTAAGGAGCCCTTAATGTGTTTAGCAAATGAAGGAGCCAAATGGAATCGTCAGGCTTTCTCAGCTAAGAGTCAATCAGGTTAACACAAGTTAGGGTATCACAGAACTACAGTGGTAGCAGTGGAGATGAAGACAGGTGAAGACATTTGAAATATATTTTGTAGCTAGAGATGGTAGAAACGGTTGATGGATTAGATGCAGGGGCATATAAAAAATAGTTCTAAGAGTGACTTGTCTCTGTTCCCATGATCTCCCTTTCCTTCTGGACCTCCTAACAAGATTCTCTTGTTCAACATTCCAGTTCACAAATTCTCTCTTCAACTGTGTGTAAAATGCATTCAGAACTATTTCTCATTTATTGGTTTTCAAATGTCTAATCTTTCATAGTATTTTCCTGTTTTATGATTTATTTGCACTTCTTAAAGAACTAATTCTACTTGTATCTGCTGACTTTTCCTCCTGTAGATGGTATGTATGTAGGCTTAATCTTTCCTTCTATGATAATCCTATAGGACCCTATTAGAAACTCTCCCTAAAGGGCAGTTTTTTATTTGTTTCTGCTGGGGTGCCAGAATTGATTTTATTTTCTTGACTTGTGGTTCTTACAGTATAAAACACTTAGCATAAACCCAGATATTACTCTTAAACCCGTGGTAAAGGCCGGGAATTCTGATTTCATATAGATAACTGTGTGTGTGTGTGCTCCCCGATCTATTCCTACTTGAATACGTGATCTCTTTGCAGATTTATGGAGGGGACTAATTCTCTTGTCTCTACATGGAAATTAGGATCTCAGCCCCTATATTTAACAGAACTTCACTAGTTTTAGTGAATTTATTATAGACTCATAGGAACCCTCTCTTGAAGCAGGAAGCACTTTGTATCTCCTTACAGATGGTGGCTGAAAGTGCTGTGTATAGGCCGGGCATGGTGGCTCATGCCTGTAATCCCAACACTTTGGGAGGCCAAGGCGGGTGGATCACCTGAGGTCAGGAGTTCAAGACCAGCCTGGCCAACATGGCGAAACCCCGTCTCTACTAAAAATACAAAAATCAGTTGGGCGTGGTGGCGGGCACCTGTAGCCCCAACTACTCGGGAGGGCTGGGGCAGGAGAATGGCTTCAACCCTGGAGGCAGAAGTTGCAGTGAGCCAAGACGGCACCACTGCACTCCAGCCTGGGCGACAAGAAACGCCATCACAAAAAAAAAAAAAAAAGAAAAGAAAGAAAATGCTGTGTATAAATAGGAAACATTTTCTATTAATTGATATAACTCAAGTTTTTGTTTTATTGATTCATCTTGAGTCCTCTGGCATCTGACAACAGGTGTACCTGCAATCAATTTCACATTATTATTTTTGAGACAGGGTCTTGCCCTGTCACCCAGCTAGAGCACAGTGGTGAAGTTGTAGCTCACTGCGACCTCAAACTCGGCTAGCTTCCTGAGTAGCTGGGACTAGAAAAGCATGCCACTGTGCCTGGCTATTTTTTTAATTTTTTGTAGAGACAGGATCTCGCTATGTTGCCCAGGTTGGTCTTGAACTCCTGGGCTCAAGTGATCCTCCTGCCTTGGCCTCCCATAGGCATAAGCCACCGTGCCCAGCCCAATTTCACTTTAGACTCCACTGGCGCCAGCATGGGAGGTCTGCAGGAGGCAGAAGATCCTATTAGGATTAAATATTTAGAACATATGTGTGATGGAGTGCTTGTTACTTTTCTATAATTTCTATTATGTTCAAGTTCCACTTTTGTCTCTAAGTGATCACATTCTCAAATAGCTTCAGAGGAATATTTACTTTTGAATAAGTAAGTTCATATAAATCATCCAGAAGGAATAATGCTATACCAGTTCAATCAGTCCCAACAGCAAAGACGTTTACCCTTTCACTAGAATATTTTTTGGAGAAATGTTTCTAGAATAAATAAGCATATATATGAGTGTATATATAAAACAAAAATTATACCCAGGCCCCCAAATGTTAAGATTTTCCTACAAGAAACCCAAATAATAAGCCTAATAATCTCTGAATCTATATTTTTAAGTTTGCTATTTCCTATCATAAACACACAAAAACCAAGGGAAATAGTACAATGGATATCTATGAACCCAATTCCCAGTTTAAAATAGTTAATACTCTATCAATCAGGCTGGTTTTATTTCCCACACCCATACGTTGAAAAAAACAACTACCAAATCATCACATCCATAAAATTGACAGTTCTTTAATATCATTCATTACTCAGTTCAATTCTCCACATTTCTTCATTATTCTTAAGATGTACTACAATGACTGGGTCATTTAATTGAGAATACTTAGTTCTTACCTGTTTACGTGTTTTCCTTTCTATGGAAAAGTTGGAATGTGTGATTTACTATTTCACAACTCAAAAGATTATTTTAAAAATGTTACAGCCATTCTAAGTTTTCCTGTCAGCCCTGACTCCTGTTTCCCATTCAGAAGCAACCACACATCATTTTCCTAGTCATCCTTCTAGAAATACACACTTTTTGATTAAACTCTTAGAAAGTTTAAACAGCCTAAATATCTGACTTCTAGCTCTGATATTTCAAATTGGGAAAAAGTACTAATTTTTGTGGTGTGATTTCTTTTGCCCCTTCATAGCCCTTTAATAATATATATTGCTCTGTACTTATTCTTAGAAAATATCAATTACTATGAGCTATGTTAAAGAGCTGGTTTATGGAACTAGCAAATAAATAGTTAATAAAAAAAATATTCAACTCAAATATACTGAAATGTTCTTCTACATAAAGTTTTGAGTTAAAATCCTAAACAATGAAAAAAATCTTGTACACCTGAATAATCTTTTGTTCTTTCTAGTGACCATTTCCTACAAATAACACACACTTGCATATACTTTACAGTTTCAATCTTATATTTATTCTCTTGTGGAATGCTAGGTTTAATGTTACAGTATGGTTGTCAAAGCTAATGAAATGTGACAAATGTCTAAATGCTGCAGAACAGTATAATTTTAATTAAACAAAACACCTGTTATTGTACAGCTGAGGTCTGATGGTTGTTAAACTGATGCCTATGTGTATGGCCAGCCACAAACCTTGGGGATGTTTATTATCTGTACATATATATACAAATATATCCCATACATATGTATGCACACAGGCATGTATTAATTTATGTGTGAAACTTATAAAATTATATATACAAACACATACATGCACATCTATCTACATATACCTACCCTCACCATTGAGTAATCAGCCTCATGCCCAATTATTATTGCTGCCCAGTATAACTACATGATTTTAGTGCCAATATCAGGCACCTTTGTAGGTGCAGGATAGGTACATCTATGCATATAGATATGCATATTCATGTATGTTTGTGTATATAAAGAAATTATCTCTCCCTTTTATGCTTCAGCCATGCATTACTACAATAAACAGTCTTTCCACCATAGGTGTTGGAATTCTAAACAGTGTAAAATCTACTTCTGGAAAACTGTATATGTTCATAGTTACAAAAAATATATTATTTATATGATTGAAACCTATTGAGTACATATGTTATTTGAATCTGGCTATACTGTAGCCATTAGATAAATTAAAAAAACCCACCCTCTAAATAGGATGTTATGGTAGCCTTAAATATACCATTACCTGCATTTAGGATAGTTGATATTATATCTTAAAAGTTGAAAAAATGATGTTAAAGATTTGAAAAACACTATGCATCTGCATTAAATATATAAATGTTTCCACCAAGGGCCCGATTAAATTCATTGTCTGACATTTTTATGTTCTAAGACTGACTAATATCATAGTCATTATTCTTATATTCTTAAAATTATGGCTCATTAAGGCTTTTATAGAAAAAAAGCCCTATTTTAAATCAATTATAAAAACAAGTTCTATTTAAAAGAAAAAACATACACAAACACTAAAGTACTCATGGATATCATCCTGTACAAAGTGACTAAAGATAGGAGGCCTGTTCTCAGTAAGAACACCTCCTGGTAGCACAAATAAACCTGGTTTGGTTCCTCTGCTCTGCAGCTTTTCAGCATGTAAAATTTAAACCATTTCACATTAACATTTAAATTTAATACAGTGCAAATATTTGAGAATAACTTGTTTCCCCCAGTGAAACAAGAGCCAGCATTATGCTGAATATTCTCCAGATCTATTTACACATTGAGTTAAAAGTTCACCATAAACTTAGAAATTTGCTGAATATCAGCAGAAATGTAACTGAACTAGCAGCAATTGCATTTACAATATTTGATAGTTACTTGAGAGAATGCATAAAATTTTCCAGGCTGTACTCTGAATCATACTGCTCTTGATCCCAAAGATCACTCAGGTTTTCAAGAATTGATTTCATACTTGCTTTCCCAGACGTAGAGGTGTCAGCTTTTTCTGCTTTGCCATCCTTAAGAAAAATTGGCAAAAAAAATAAAGAGACGTTAACTTCACAAAATGTATTTTTCTTTAAAATCACACTTGTTTCTAATACTACAATTATTCAACAGAATTGAGTACTTTAAGTGATGGGGAAATTCATGATCTCCAAACATTTATTTGTCAGTTTCTTACTTGGAAAGAACTTCAAAATTATGGAAGAATTATAAGAACATATCAAAGAACTTATTTGCTTTATCAATCTCTCTCCCCATTTATATATGTGTATGTATATATGGATGTCAGAAATATAGTTAGATATCAGTTTTTTCCCTTAACAATTTGAGAGAAAGTTGTAGACATCATGTCCTTTTATCCTTTGAGAGCAACTGGCATATATTCCTAAGAACAAGAATATTCTCTTACATAACCATATAAAGACCAGATTAAGGAAACCTAACACTGATATTAAAATGTTCTAATATATAGTCTGTTTTCAAATTCTGCCAATTGTCTAAATAGTGCCTTTTATGGCAATAGGCCATTTCCCTAAAACATCCCTCTGAGCCCAGTTCTACTCACTGAAAGTCACCCATAAGAATATTCCTTCAAACAGAATAAAAGCTATTTGAAGACAGCTATGCATGTTTCTTTGAGCCTTCTTTTTTCTATGTTAAACATGTCTCATTCTTTCAACTTTATCTTGACTTTCAATATGACATGATTGAAGAACCTGCCCCCATTCTGGCCACCGGGGATCTAATTTGTTACCATTTAAAATGTAGCACCCCAAACTAGACATATTTCAAATGTGGTTTAACATATACATAATATGGCAGAACGATTTTCTCTTACTTGAAAGTACACTTCTATTATTACAGCTAGTTTTAATTTCATCATATAAGGCTATTTCACACCATAATTTATACTAAGTATGCAGTGGATTTTCTGAACCTATGTAGGACTTTAAATCCAACTATATTGGTTTTACAATATTAGACTCACTAATATTTCCAAGTTGTGCATCCTTTTGATTATAGATTGTTATCTGATGTATTAGTTCCATCATCTGCAATAATAATGGCTATTATTTATTGAGAATCTCCACTAGATATCCTTTCTGACTGCTTACATGTATTATCTTACCTCACAACCATGTAGTAAAATAGGTATAGAAGCTCAGAGAGATAATCTGCCTAAGGTTAACAGGAGGCAGGGCCAAGAACTCTCATCCATTAGTCTTACTGACTCCAGTGATAAACTGTGCTTTAGCAGAAAAGGACTAAGGAAAGAAACCTGAGGCAAGACATTGAAGACATCAATGAAAAAAAAAAAAAAATCAAAACTTCACACATTCCCTAGTATGCTGCAGAATTTATCTGGGCACCAAAAATTCCCTCCAGTGGTGATCTCATGGATACTAAAGTGAACGCATTTTGCTGCTCCTTTAATACTTTCAACTTAGCAGTCACAGGAAGCCTGTGACTCATTAAAGATACAACAAATTGTTTCTTTACCTTATCAAGAGTAAACAGATCAAGAAGCTGATCAGTCCCCATGCTCTGCAAACTAGAATTCTCTTGGCTAATAACGGTATTCGCTATGTTCATCTTGAATTTCTGCAACCCCATTATTTTTTCTTCCAATGTTCCTCTGGTTATCAATCGGTATACGTTGACCACACGTTTCTGGATAAGAAAAACAGTTAAACAACTGTAACACATATTAAGCTTTGAGGTTCCAACAAGTCAGAGTGTCTTTAGACTTGTACTATTTTCTACTGCCTAATTAGGGTTGGATTTTTGTCTGGCCACATGAGCTCAAAATGTGTGCAGCAATCACAGAATATTAGGGATGAAGTGTGATCCAGGTTTTCTTAGTGGTAGCACTCATTTAATGCATGAGGAAGTGATACCACAGAAAAGTTAAGTGATCTGTCCAAGATCATAACACATGTATGTTAACACCAGAGCAAGAACTAAACTAAGGTTTCCCATCTTTTTGGGGGAGTATATTTTCATGCACAGGTTAACATCTGTGAGGTAAAATTGACTTTTACCTGCCCAATGCGATGGGCCCGGTCCATGGCTTGTAGATCTCGCATAGGATTCCAGTCATGCTCCACAAAGACTACCGTGTCAGCGCCTGTCAAATTAAGTCCCAGGCCACCAACGTGAGTGGTAAGTAACAGAACATCTATAGATGGGTCATTATTAAACCTAAAGGTATAGATAACAAAAACAAAATTAGTCCATTCCTAAGTCCTATAACAGAAACTGTTAAATAAAAATTAAAGAGCACAAATGAAAATGCTGCTTTAAAAATCCACAATAGGGATACTTATGTGATCATCTGAGAAAAATATCCTCCCAACATGTATAACGTTTTTAGCAAAAGAGAGCATTCTAAAGCTAGTCAGGAATTTCATAAATACAAAATAAGGCAAACTGCACTGAATTTAGTAACATCAGTTAAGGACTAACTTGCAAAAATATAATTAAATGTTAATTATAATTAAGATAAACCCAACTATGAACCTTTAAAGTATGGGGACAGACAGAAGTATGAGAACAGGCTAGACTTTCATTCAGGGAAGAGAGAAGGTGAGAGTGTTAGGGTTGCTACTATTATACTAGTCCTAGAAGACACTGACAAAGGATATCTAGTAACTTCTAGGAAAAAGAAAAAACTAACATTAAAGATGCAGCTATCAAGCTACGATTTATTATCCTTACTACGAGTCAAGCAATAGGCTTTGTATTTTATATGCATTATATGCATTGTTTTAATTGTTACCATAGCTCTATAAGGGTATTATTACCAATATCCCTATTTTAGACTGAGGCTCTGTGAATGATAAACAGGCCCAAGAGAACACTGCTTAAATAGCAGAGTCAGCAGTCAAACCTGAGCCTGTCGGCCTCCAAAGTCCTTTCCTGGGGTCTCTAACTTTATTGTGCCTAACGATCTCTTAGGGATGCTTGTTTTTTGAGACAGAGTCTTGCTCTGTTGCTCAAGATGAAGTGCAGTGGCCCAATCCGATCTCTGCTCACTGTAACTTCTGCATCCTGGGTTCAAGACATTCTCCTGCCTCAGCCTCCAGAGTAGCTGGGATTACAAGCATGTGCCACCACACCCAGCTAATTTTTGTATTTTTAGTAGAGACGGGATTTCACCATGTTGGCCAGGCTGGTCTTGAACTCCTGACCTCAAGTAATCCACCCACCTCAGCCTCGCAAAGTGCTGGGACTACAGGCGTGAGTCAGTGCGCCCGGCTGGGATGCTTGTTAAAAATGCCTGCTCTTGAAGTCAGCAGCTTTGGGACTAAGCAGAATCTAGGAATCTGCATTTTTAAAACAACCACTGAGATTTTTAAAAGTAGAGGCTGCAGACCACATGTGAACACTGCACTCACCAGTTCTGCTTCCCAGTTGGGCCAGATTCCAACTTGTTCTCAGTGCACCAACAGGAATTAGGATGGAGATTTTATCTAAGTCACTTGTTTGGTTCCTCTCACCCTAATCCTCCCAAAAAGGTAAGGAAGGGGGAAGTAGTCATCCCTACTATTGGTTGATGCCTTAAATTTCTTTCATGCTCTTCAGAGTGCTTTCCTATTATAGTCATACCTTTTCATATACTAAACAAATAATCTATTCGATTATATTTCTGTAGTTCTATATATAAAAGGGTTTATTTGGGGTGGATTAAACAATTGAAAAAACACATTTGGCCGGGCGCGGTGGCTCAAGCCTGTAATCCCAGCACTTTGGGAGGCCGAGACGGGCGGATCACGAGGTCAGGAGATCGAGACCATCCTGGTTAACATGGTGAAACCCCGTCTCTACTAAAAAATACAAAAAACTAGCCGGGCGAGGTGGCGGGCGCCTGTAGTCCCAGCTACTCGGGAGGCTGAGGCAGGAGAATGGCGTGAACCCGGGAGGCGGAGCTTGCAGTGAGCTGAGATCCGGCCACTGCACTCCAGCCTGGGTGACAGAGCGAGACTCCGTCTCAAAAAAAAAAAAAAAAAAAAAAGAAAAAACACATTTGCAGATACTTAGCCAATGAAAATATTTCATAGAACAAACTTCTATGTAAGTAATAATATATTTATTTACGAATAAGAGTCTTAGAAGCCACGTACCGGGAAACAATGGAATGCCTCTGACCAGGAGGTATGCTGCCATCTAATCTCAAGTAAGTGACAGAGGGCAAGTGAGGTTTGAGGAGATCATGCTCTACTATATCAAGCATGCTTTTCAGCTGACAGAAGATCAGTATCCTGTGCTGGGCCACAACAGACTCTGTGCCACTCTCGGAAGTACTGCCATTTCCCAAACCGCAGTCCAACAGCAACTTAGGAAGAAGAAGAAGAAGAAGAAAAAAAAAAACAACTACATAAGTGTTCAATAAAAGTAGATAAGCAATCTCACTATGACATTTCTCTCTGTGGCAAGAAAAGGTTAAATGTACCTGAAATCTGGAAAGCAGATTAGCACTTTGGGCTGCAATCTGTCACCCTGCAGCACACTGAACTAGTTTTTGAGGTGCTCAGGCTTAGAGTTCCCTGATCACCTCTTCAGAAGTTTTCATTTAATTTTTTTTTTTTATAGACTCAAAGTCTCACTATGTTGCTCAGGCTAGTCTTGAACTCCTGAGCTCAAGTGACCCTCCTGCTTTGGCATCCCAAAGTGCAAGGATTATAGGTATGAGCCACCACACCCCGCCCAGAAGTTTATCTAATAACAAACCTACCTTCCTTTTCCTCAATCCTTGAGGCTGAAGCCTCAATAAATGTTTATTGAAAGTAATGACAAAGAAGATGCCACAGGCAAACTGGTTCATAAAGGGTTATTCAATAATGTATGAAGAAAACAACGCAGTAGCCACATTTGGCAGAAAAAATTATAGAAAAGAAGCATTTAGCTAGATTTGGATTCTTTTCAAGAGAGCTTATTACTCTATCTGTAGACCAAGATCTTTAATGGCAGAAACCACACTTTGCTATAGATCATTTATACTTATTCCTAAAGTGGTTCGGTGTCTTGCACACAGCAAGTACAATAAATAAATGATTGAATAAAATCCAAGAGAATCATGTTTAGATCAATTTGACAAACCGTATACCCAATAGTACTATTCTTCAACCATAGTATTTCAGGTATTACTGAACTCTGTTCAAAATCTAAGAGCTGGCTGGGCCAGCGGTGGTGGCTTATACACCTGTAATCCCAGCACTTTGGGAGGCCAAGGCAGGCAAATCACTTGAGGTCAAGAGTTCGAGACCAACCGGGCCAACATGGTGAAATCCTGTCTCTACTAAAAATACAAAACAGCCAGGTGTAGTGGCATACACCTGTAGTCCCAGCTACTTGGGAGGCTGAGACAGGAGAATTGCTGGAACCCTGAAGGCGGAGGTTGCAAAAACAAAATCTAAGATCTTTTTTTTTTTATTGGAGATGGAGTCTCCCTGTATTGCCCAGGCTGGAGTGCAGTGGCATGATCTTGGCTCACTGCAACCTCCAACTCCTGGGTTCAAGATATTCTGCTTCAGGCACCAGAGTAGTTGGGATTACAGATGCCCACCATTACGCCCAGCAAATTTTTGTAATTTTAGTAGAGACGGGGTTTCGCTATGTTGGCCATGTTGGTTTCGAACTCCTGACCTTAGGTGATCTGCCTCGGCCTCCCAAAGTGCTGGGATTACAGGCATGAGCCACTTCACCGGGCCAATCTAAGATCTTCATGCAGGATGCTTTCTCCTTTCTACTAACAGAAGCTACTCAAAAAAACAAAAGCTCTGATAGGAAAGATAACCAAAACGCCATCCAGGCAAACTCCAAATTCAATGTAAAACACTTAGGGTGTTGTACAGAAAAGGACACTGTTTTCCTCAGAAAGTCCTCTTTGTAAGGTTGAAGTTTGAAACTTGGATTTCGGGAGTCTTCCCATCAGTCCCTAACTGGTAATGATAGTTTACTGTGCCTAAACTATTGTGCAAATAATATGATTTAGGCTGAAACCTGCCTTCTGAGGGTCTGGAATTTTGATCCATGCTAGACAAAGGGAGTATATGTGACCAGCCCCCAATAAAAACTTTGGGCACTGAATCTCTAATAATCTTCCCTGGTAGACAACAGTTCACATCTATTGTCACAATTCAATGCTTGAGGAAGAATACATGTTCTCACTCTTCTACCTCACAGCCCCTAAAGTTTGAGATTTTTATTATATAGTAGTATATGGTATACAAGGGAGGCATTCCTCCAAATAAATAAGTCTGATCGATGTAATTATCCCTACATCTTGCCCTTAAATCTGCGAACAAATTACTATTCAAGCTGTTTCTTTTAAAAAGTCCTATCTAAGGTGTCTCAGGAGAGACGTGACTGTGTGGTACCCAGTATAATGTATATTGGTTGGGCATAGTGGCCCATGCCTATAATCCCAGCATTATGGGATGCCAATGTGGGAAGACTGCTTGAGGCCAGGAGTTCTAGACCAGCCTGGGCAACATAGGAAGACCCCATCTCTAAAAAACAAAACAAAATTAGCCAGGTGTGGTAGTGCACACGTGGAGTCCTAGTTACTTGGGAGGCTGAGGTGAAAGGATTGCTTGAGCCCAGAGTTTGAGGTTGGAGTTATGACCACACCACTGTACTCTAGCCTGAGTGACAGAGTAAGACCCTCTCTCTAGGATTAGAAAAAAAAGTGTTATAAGTGCAACTTCCTATACAGATCCCATAAGAGTTCCAGAGTGAAATTTTATCAGAATGTCTGTGTCATGCACACGCAATTACTCAGTTCCATAGGCAGCAATGTCAAAACCTTAAAGATAACCAGTCAAATTAAGGATATCCAACTAAGACTTCTCCAAGTCCATACTTACCAGACATTCTTCCTAATGCAATCTTTCCCAGATGCAGCTATCCTACTGAATATGTGGACATACCATTTGACATGAGTATTCCTGTCTGGCAGCAGAATTGATACTCTGGTATTCTCACTAATCTATAACCCGAGTCTGCTCTGAGAGACTGATCTAGTTCAGGGCCTTGAAAAGTTGATTACTAGACTCTAGCAAATATTTACCAAGGACATCTAATAATGGGTGTTTGAGAGGTCAGCTGACTCCCTAGAAAGCATTTCAATTTTATTTTGCCCTAACTTCAGCATAGGCTAAATTACCCCAGTTTTTTCAATCATTCCTCATATAAAATGGCTTCTAGATGTTTTACCATTTTGATCTTCCACTTGTACTGGTCAAAACTATAAAACTCAAAATTTGGGCCAGGTGTGATGGCTCACACCTGTAATCCCAGCACTTTGGGAGGCCGAGGTGGGCGGATCACGAGGTCAGGAGAGCAAGACCATCCTGGCTAACATGGTGAAACCCCGTCTCTACTAAAAATACAAAAAAAAAATCAGCCGGGCGTGGTGGCGGGCACCTCTAGTCCCAGCTACTCAGGAGGCTGAGGCAGGAGAATGACATAAACCCGGGAGGCGGAATTTGTAGTGAGCCGAGATCGCACCACTGCATTCCAGCCTGGGCAACAGAGCGAGACTCTGTCTCAAAAACAACAACAACAACAACAAAAAAACAATATTTGTTCTGACTAGTATGAAATACAGTAAAACTATGATGCCCTCATTTTGGCCATTATATAGTCATTAATCCCAGCCAAGATCCTATTAGTTTTATTTACTGGCAACTAATTCACACCATTCTTATAGTGAATTTGCCATCAAATCAAACTCAACTTTGCCTCATATAAAATATTTGCTCACAAAGTCAAAATACACCTAAGTGTTTTCTTTTAAAACTGACTCTGCTTATCTCCGTTAAATTTCACCTACAGTTTTAGTTCATCATTACAGCCTCCTGGAATTTTTCATTCTAGCTTTGGCAATATTAGATACTTCTCCCAGCACTACTTGTTGATAAACATGTTTCTATTAACAGATTTTTAGAAAGCAAGTAAGACTTCTCTAACTTCACATCATAGACATACTTAGATTTAAAAAAGAAATTTATCCTTTCTGAGACAGAACCTTCACTCTGGCTGAAAAGAACCAAGAAAATGGAAAAGAAGGCTAGTAGAAAAGTCTTCCATGAGGACAGCCAGAAAAAATCTGGGTCTCTGTAAGTTGCAGACTTCCTAAGCATCTTAATTCAAGATGTGTCAGGGTGACAAGAAGCATACTCTAAAATAAGAGATCAATTTAAGCAGCAACTGCTGGGGAAAAAAAAAAAGCTGTAAGAGCCTATGTATAATTCAAATATGGATGAAATTCAATTTTTATTTGAAAATAGATCTAATTAGAGGATTCCTTGACTAAGTATATCTTACAGCTTTACCTAACACACTAGCTATGTTAGGAAAACCATGAACATTTTATATAAAGACCTATACCAAGGTTTGGTCAAACAAGAAAACCATTCCTCATATCTAAAGATAACAATCATTCTTCAGTTTTGTAGTGTGAAAGTCCACAGTCCATTTTACGTTTAGTGATATAAGGATATATATTTGGATATATATGCCACATACACTATTAGATAACATTTTCCACACTAACCTATGTGGAATCTAAAATCTTCACTCATTAGTTGTTCTCAATGAGCTTTAGGCCAGAATAACTACTGACCGCAAGCTAAAACAATTACTAAGTCTAGATTTTATACTAAAATCTTCATTTATAAGGGTAGTTAGAACTAAATGGCATTAGTGCTAACATTTTGGTGCTTGAAATTGTTTCTCTTAATCTTTTGAAATCTTAGAATTTTAAAAAATTCATTTTTAAAAGCAACACCAAGAGGGTGACATCAGCAAAATGATAAGAGTATGCAGCTCCAAGTAAAATAAAGAAATCCACATCAACACACATTATAAACTGTTGAAAGACAAAGAGAATCTTGAAAGCAGCAAGAAAAAAGCAAATGGTCACGTAAAACGGATCTTCAGTAAGATTAACACCTGATTTCTCATCAGAAACCAGGGAAGACATTATCAAGAAAGTAAAAAGATAACCTCCAGAATGGGAGAAAATATCTGCAAATCATAAGTCTGATGATAAGGGTTTAATATCCAGAATTACGAAGAACTTCTCGGCAGGGTGTGGTAGCTCATGCCTATAGTCCCAGGGCTTTGGCAGGCCCAGGTGGGAGAATCGTTTGAGGCCAGGAGTTCAAGACCAGCCTAGGCAACACACTGAGACCCCATCTCAAAAACAAAAAACAACAACAAAACTTTTCAAACTCAACAAGGTGAAATACTCCAATCAAAATGGGTAAAGAACTTGACTACACATTTTTCTAAAGAAGATATGGAAATGTCCAATAAGCACATGAAAAGATGCTCAACATCATTAGTCTTTAGGGAATAGCAAATCAAATCCATAAGGAGTTATCACTTCATACCTAGTAGGATGACTATAATTAAAAGAAATTAACAAGTGTTGGCAAGGATATGAAGATGTAGCCCCTGGTACATTGCTGGTGGGAATGTAAAATGGTATAGTCATTGTGAAAAAAATTTGGCAGTTCCTGAAAATGTTAAACACAGAAATGCTATATGACCTACCTATTCCACTCCTTAGTCTCTAGCCAAAAGAACTAAAAAGAGTAACTCAGATAGATACTTGTAAGCCAATGTTCACTGCAGCATTATTCACAATAGCCAAAAGGTGAAAACAACTCAAGTGTCCACTGACATATAAACGGATGAATGAAATGTGGTATATCCATAAAACTGACTAATGAACAAACTGCAAATGACAAATATTTTAAGAGTCCACTTAAATGAAATATTTAGAACAGGCAAATTCATAGAGAAAATAGAGATCACCAGGGGCTAGAGGAAGGGAGAATGAAGAATTATTGCTTGATGAATATAGAGTTTCTGTTTGGGTGGTGGAAATATTTTAGAAATAAGATAATGGTGATGGTTATATAACATTGTAAATATAATGCCTCAGATTTACACACTTAAAATGGTTTAAATGGCATATTTTGTGCTGTATATATTTTAACCACATTTTTATAAAAAGCTGTATCAAAAATTTAAGCAAATTTAAAAATAAATGGTAAACACAGTAGTAATCTTTAAGAAAAGCAAATTTACCAAGAATTTATATTCCTGGGGTGCAACACATATTTAGCACTTAAAAGACATACATACTTGTTTCAAAGCTGAGAGCTTGGGGGCATGCTGAATATCATGTAGAGAAGAATTCTGAACTGCCAGTTTTTCAGTAGTGGTCTTGAATTCTGGATGTTGAGGAGTTAAGACTAATGCTGGATGGTTGCACAGTTTACGTAAGTACTGTAATGCCTTTAAGAGGAAGAAAAAGTATGTATGAGTCAATTTCGCATAGCACAAATATTTTTTATCTCTGTATCTTTCCTTATGCTATTTCCTGTGCTGTATAGAATGCCTTTCTTTCTCTTCTTGCTTGGCAAACTTCTACTCATTCTTCAAGAACCAGTTCAAATGTCTCATTTTAGATTCTTGTGCAGTTTATATGCAGACATTTACAACGCATATAAATTGTACTGTTTGTCTGTCTCTCCTACCAGACAATGAGCTTCACATGGCAAATTGAGCGTCTTAGTTGTTTTCTTTAAAACCCTTTCCCAAAGTACCCAGTAATGCAGACAGATGCTTCTGGAACCAGGCATCATTTTGGACACAAAAGCTGCTCAATCTTCAATGAGTACAAAAATTTCTGTCCAGGCATGGTAACTCGCCCCTATAATCCACCCTGCACTTTAGGAGGCTGAGGTGGGTGGATCCTGAGGTCAGCAGTTCGAGACCAGCTGGACAACATGGTGAAACCTTGTCTCTACTAAAAATACAAAAATTAGCCGGGCAAGGTGGCATATGCCTGTAATCTCAGCTACTTGGGAGGTGGAGGCAGGAAAATTGCTTGAACCCTGGAGATGAAGGTTGCAGTGAGCCAAGAGCATGCCACTGCACTCCAGCTTGGGTGACAGAGCGAGACCTGGTCTTTAAAAAAAAAAAAAAATTCTTGAGGACCTTATAAACCTGACATTCTGATTCAGCAGATGAGAGGAGAGCAGGGAAGGGGAGCTAGGTGACTGTCTCAAGTGGTTGTATTTGTGAAACAGAACCTTATATGGTCTCTTCTCTGATTCAGCCATACTTTCTCTTCTGCCTCTTACTTGGCTTAAGATTTGGGTCTCAGCCTTGGCACAGAGTTGTTTTATTAGTAAGTTCCATTGGCAAGGCTCAAGACAGTGCTGAGCACTAGGATTAAAAATTGTGGGAGAGGCCAGCTGCAGTGGTTTGCACCTATAATCTCAGCTACTTAGGAGGCTGAGGAGGGATGATCACTTGAGGTCAAAAGTTCAAAACCAGCTTGGGTAACACGGCAAGACCTTATCACTAAAAAAATTTTTTTTAATTAGCCAGGTGTGGTGGTGTGCACCTGTAGTCCTACCTACTCAGGAAGCTGAGGCTGAGGATCACTTGAGCCCTGGAGTTTGAGGTTGCAGTAAGCTATGATCCCACCACTCCAGCCTGGGCAACAAAACATGACTCCTCCTCTTAAAAAAAAACAAAAACAAAAAACTAGGTCTTCACAACTGCCTTTTCCTTCTTCTATCTTTAAAAATACTACAGTACTTAATCTATTGGCAGGAGGTTTTCTGTGGTGGACTATTCAAGAGGGAAAGCTAAAGTGACACTTGCCACCTCTTTTTGCTATTCTCTCAAGCATATGAGGCATGATCTGACTTGAGACTTCTGTACTTTTTGTATCCTCTGCCTGGAATCACTTACCCTCCATACACCTGCATGCCTCAATCCTCCTTCAGATCTTTGCTCAAATGTCACCTTCTCAGTGAGGCAGTCCCTAGCCCCTCAATTAAGAAACCACAACCTACCCTGGACTCTGATACACTATAACCACATTATCGGCTTTGTCTTACACATAATATATACCTAAGTATTTTTCATCTCTACCAGGGAAGGAGTCTGTTTTATCCGCTGTTTTAAGTAACCCCAGAGCTCTGAAAAATTACTGCCATGTAGTAGGTGTTCTAATATTTTCTGAATAAAAAAGCAAAAGATTCTCTGTTCTAAAGCCCTTCTTTTCAGGTAATATACAAACATATATTTCATTTTATACATTTAATTTTAATATTAAAGCGCTTACTAATATAAAGATAATATTAAATAGGTATTTTAACTTATTTTCCAGCATATATACATAATATTGAAACAAATATACATAGATCTGTATTTTATTTTTCCATATAAAAAATGCCTCATTAAAATTCATTCTTCAACATTTAAAAAGTGGAATGGGCCAGGCGCGGTGGCTCATGCCTGTAATCCCACCACTTGAGGAGGCCAAGACAGGTGGATCACTTGAGGTCAGGAGTTTGAGATCAACCTGGTCAACATAGTGAAACTCCATCTCTATTAGAAATACAAAAATTAGCCAGGCGTGGTGGCGCACACCTCTACTCCCAGCTACTCGGGAGGTTGAGGCATAATAGCTTGAACCCAAGAGGCAGAGGCTGCAGTGTGCCGAGATCGTGCCACTGCACTCTAGCCTACACGACAGAGTGCTAACTCCATCTTAAAAAAAAAAAAAAAAAAAAAAAAAAAGTAGGAAGTAATCTATACCTGGAATACATGGCCTGTAGCTTTCAGCTTTGGTTTTTCAGTTTCTTCAGAAAGTGCAGCTGAGGAAACTGTTTCATCAACATCACACTTGGCACGAGACTTAGCAAAATCTTCATAGAGCTGAACCTGTAAAATGGCCCCCATGGGAGAAGTTTAAGTATATTTATTTTCAATTGTTTAAAACACATTAACTAGCAAAGTAGTAATTTAAATCAGCCTTCATTAATGAAAACAAATTGTGATATCTCTAATTCACTACAGGAATTACAGGTTATCCACTCCATCTTGGTGAATTCCTTTAAAACTACATTTAGAAAACAAGTATGAACACATTAAGTTGGGCTGCTAAAATATGAAAAATACAAGTCAAATGGTCCAAGACTCAATTTTTCTACTGTTCAGGAAAATAAATACATTACCAATAAAAGAAAATCTGAACCCTTAGCAGTAAATGAGAAAAATCTTCCTTAAATGAAGTTACACGATCAAGACCCTGCATGTATGTTTCAGGACATCAAAGTTTACACGAATGTTACTGCTAGCCTAAAAGGGGAACATATGTCAAGTTTTAAAGCACTACGCTGGGGTCTGGGTTCCTACCTTGTACAAGCTAAAATAATGTGAAAGAAAAGATAATCTAGAGAGCTAAAGGACAGAAACCAGAGAATACAAAATCTGTGAATGCTAAACAAAGCCAAAATGCCACTTCTCTTTGGAGCTCGCTTTCTCTAGATTGATTACTTACATGTGTTTTACGCCTATGTTATAGCACCACAACCAGTAAATCACCACAGATTTTTTTCACGTGACATCTTTACTGTACCTACTTTAAGAAGTCTTCATTTCACTTCAAAAATATTCCTTTCAAGACATACTAATTTTTGCAAATGAAGGAAGGGGAACCTGAGAGATGAGGCAGATAGTATAGAAGAATCAAAGAATTCTCAACTTCTTATCCTGCCCAAGTTGAACAGATGAATACCTGCTAACAGGTTAACCATCTATACAATGGAGGGGGAAAAAGTACGTTTCTGGGTATGTATATCTCTTATTCATTGACCATAGTGAATCAAATCCTAATAGTAAGATAGACTGACACATACAAACCTAGAACATAAAAAAATTTTCAAAGAGAAAATTCTGACCCCGAGGCCATGTCTTACTAACACAAGGAACAGTTTCCATGTAGCTCCTCAGAAAAGTACAAGGAAAGGCTCACAATAAATTCCTTTAATAATGGTCTTTATGTACAAAATCAGAACTGTGCAGAAGGCAAAATTTATTTTGAACATTTTTAGGTAATGAAATAATACTTCAAAGGGAATGAGTGAGGTCCCACTGACCGAGGTTTAAAACTCAGCTCTGATATATAGTCATACACTGCACAAGGACATTGAGGTCAACAATGGACTACATATAAAATGGTTGTACCATAAGATACAATATTGTGTTTTTACCATACCTTTTCTATGCTTATACATACAAATACAATTGTGTTGCAACTGCCTGTACTCAGTACAGTAACATGCTGCACAGGTTTGTAGCCTCGGAACAACCGGCTATACCATCTAGGTGTGTGTAAGTACACTCTAGGATATTTGCACAATGACAAAATCACCTAATGATGCGTTTCTGAGAAATCACTCACGCCATTAGCACTGTACAATTGTGTATTAGCTCTGACTGTAGCCGAGGTAGGTAACTTTTCTGAATGTCACTTTATTTGCGAAACTGGGGATTAATAATACCTATAATGTTGTGAGGACAGCCTGACAACATTCAGAGGCAGATTTTTGGCCTTTATAAACATTGGCTTGTTTCCTTACCAATTTAATACCTTGCAATCTTTTCAATTAACTAGACACATAAGAAAGCAACTATAGGCTGGGACGGTGGCTCACACCTGTAATCCCAGCACTTTGGAAGGCCAAGGTGGGAGGACTGCTTGACCCTGGGAGTTTGAGACCAGCCTGAGCAACACAGCAAGACCCAGTCTCTACAAAAACTAGAAAATTAGCCGGGCATGGTGGTATGTGCCTGCAAGTCCCAGCTACTTGAGAGGCTGAGGCAGGAAAATCACTTGAACCCAGAGGTTGAGGCTGCAGTGAGCCATGACTGAGCTACTGTACTCCAGCCTGGGTGACAGAGTAAGACCCTGTCTCTTAAAAAAAATTTTTAAAAGCAACTATGATACTGAATTTTGTTTTCATGCTATATTCAAAATGTATACACTCAAACTTATATCCACATCATTTAGGCTTTATCTGCATCTGATAAAGCCAAAGGCTAAGCCCCTTTACTCAATAGTTTTGTGGCTCATACAAAACGATCTGCTAATAAACATACCACTAACAATGATAAACACAAGATTCCTAACCTGGAGAGGACTAAGAGTACAATAATAGTCTTGAATAATTTTAGGTGGAAGATCCTGCAAAACATCTTCTTTCATTCTTCTCAAAAGAAATGGCAGTACTTGGCGGTGCAGTGCATCCATAGCAAGAACACCTGTTAATAGTTAAGAGAAAACGGCTTCAAAAAAAGTTAAGAATAAATTATATTCACTTACACAGGGTTATAATTACATCTCTTTCATACCTGCTTCTTGCTCTCGACTGGAGCTTCGAGCATCCCTACTTGCTAATATAGGTTTACCATATCGAGCAGCAAACTGGCGTTCAGTACCCAAAAATCCTGGCATGAGGAAATCGAATAATGACCACAGCTCCAAAACGTTGTTCTGTAAACAGGAACACCAATTATCTTTCGTACGGGGATTATTTCCTTACAACTACAAAAAACACCAAAAAAATTTAGCCGGGCATGGGGGCATGCACCTATGGCCCCAGGTACTTGGGAGGCTGAGACGGGAGGATTGCTTAAGCCTAGCAGGGAGAGGGAAGGGAGAGAGGGAGAGTGGGAGAGGGAGAGAGGGGGGAGGGGGGAGGGAGAAAGAGAGAGAGAGGAAGGAAACAAAGAAAGGGAGAAAGAGAGAAAAAGAAAGAGAAAGAGAAAGAAAGGGAGAAAGAGAGAGAAAAAGAAAAAGAGAAAGAGAAAGAAAGAAGGAAAGAAAGAAAGGAAGGAAGGAAGGAAGGAAGGAAGGAAGGAAGGAAGGAAGGAAGGAAGGAAGGAAGGAAGGAAGGAAGGAAGGAAGGGAAGGAAGGAAGGAAGGAAGGAAGGAAGGAAGGAAGGAAAGGAAGGAAGGAAGGAAGGAAGGAAGGAAGGGGAAGGAAAGAAAGGAAGAAAGAAAGGGAGAAAAAGAAAAAGAAAGGAAAGAAAGGAAGAAACAAAGAAAGAAAAAGAAAGAAAGGGAGAAAGAGAGAGAGAAAAAAAGAAAGACAGACAGAAAGAGCGCGCGAGTAGGTAAGTACATAAAGAACCATCAATTTCTAAAGTTGGAAGGAATCTTACAGGTCACATGGTGTTTACTTCTCTACTGAGAATGACTGAAGGTCTTCCCACCAAAGTTTACTATCCAAGCTAGATGTGAACATTTGCAACCAATTCTTCTGGAGGACAAGAGAATTTCTCAAAAGTATCTAAAGGTATCTACATACCTATCTCCTTCCTTTTCCAAAATAAACTTCTACAATCGCTTGCCTTCAACTTCCTCCTGACATCAGGTGTTCACACTTCTACTATATAATGATTCATCTCTGACTCAGCTCTAGCTTTTCAATGCTAAATCAGACTGCAGTGTACTACTACAGAAGGAGAATGGCCAGTGTGGAGTAGAGTCTCATTTTTATGTCTTTCATACTTTTGACACAAGATTTCTATTTACATAGTCTAAAATAACATTTTAAAAATGACTTTGAAAACCTTGTTTGTTTAACAATGAACCATTAAACAAGCAATAATTATATACTGGAAAATTATCATTCCTATAACAACAAAAAAAAATCTTTAATTCACTGCCAAATACCAAGCCTACCCTCCACCTGGCAAAAAAAAAAAAAAAAAGAATAGTAAATAATTACCTGGATTGGTGTTCCAGAAAGAATAATCCTATAATTAGCAGTCAGTTGTTTTACTGCTTTTGACAACTTTGTTTTTCCATTTTTGATGACATGGCCTTCATCAAGAATGCAGTAGTTAAATTTAATATTTCTAAGGGAGAATAAATAGGAAATGTTACAACTTTTGCTGTATGTCTGGAACTATATGAAGAATATTTAAAGTGGGAAAATATTAAGAGTCTTCAAATTTGATATTAATTTTTCTTAAAAAAAAAAATTTTAATTCTTACCTAAAGAAATCTATGTCATTCCTCACAACATCATATGAAGCCACTATTAGATTGTGCCTTTTTACTTGGTGCTGTAACCTTTATTTAGAAATGAATAAAATTAGAAAACAGAGACCCTGAAAAGTTCTTAATAGCTACCATTGTATAAAGTGCTTTCAATCTGCCCACTAAGCCCAGCATTCCCTTCTGCTTACTCTACATACATGACCCTGAAGGGCTACTCTTCTGATGACTTGGCTGTGTTGCCCTACTCAGTCTGATTAGAAAAGAGATGAACATTAGACTGAAAATATGGTGGATATTTCAACTTTACTTGCCAACACCTCTTCCTTAGGGGCACTATTCCTTTATCATTCCATGTTGTTCTAGGTGATGTGGGGGAACTACCAATCATGTGCCCCCATAATCACCAAGGAAATGAAGCATTTTAACCAGGTTAAGCTATTCACAATATTTAATCCCCTAACCACAAAGGTTGTTTTGGGAGCATGACCCAAACAAGGCCAGTCAGTCATCTCCAGTACTGATATATTCATGAGAGAGAGGGAAGATCTGTTTACTACAGTTGCCAAACTAAGAGAATATGAGCCAGAGACTGCCCATTGTCATCTTATCTACCAACTGTGGACTGAAGCCCAATAGTAACAATGAGTTATGTAAGGGGAGGAAGAGTGAATGAGAGTAATCTAGATGGGCCTGAAGCAACAATCTACCCCTGAAATTCTCAAGTTAGTGAATTAATGAATTTTCTGTTTGCTTAAGCTAGTTTGAATTGAATTTCTATCACTTACAAATGAACGAATTCTATCAAAGAGGCACTACGGTAAACTGCTCAAGAGTGCAAGTTTTTGAGCTGCCTGTATTCGAATCCTCACTCTCTCCACTTCATTAGTTGAGTGACCTTGGACCCAGGCCCAATGCCTTAGACTCCTTATTTGCAAATTGGAACAACAGTATTCCTACCTCACAAAGTGACTGTGAGAATACATAATACACAATTTGTTTAGTTTTTTTTCAATTCTGCTCCTTCTATACATAATACACAATTTTACATTAAAAAAAAAAAAAAAAAAAAAAACTGCTTAGAATAGTGCCTGGCCAGTAAGTGCTCAAGATAAAAACTAAAAAATTTTAATAACATTATTTAATAATAATATTTGCTATTATTAACACAGGAGTACAGCAAATCTATGGACTAATCAGCAACTATGACTATCCAACCTTAAAGAATGAACTCAAATCAATGAGCTTCCACTTGAAAAAATTTACAGTTAGGAACATAAGAGATGTATTAGTTAATAGGGAAGGGGTAAAGCTGAAAGAACTCTAAAATTTAGTGCAGTCATGACTGCAGCAGCAGCTAAAGCAGCCATAGTGGACAAAAAGTACTTCTGGGGAGAGGGAAGGAAAGGGAACAAGGCAAAGGGGAACTCTTTTTTATTTAAGAGAGGGGGACTCAGGCTGGTCTTGAACTCCTGGGCTCAAGCGATCCTCCTGCCTCAGCCTCCTGAATAGTCAGGACTACAGGCATGTTCCCCTGCACATGGCTCAAAGAGATCTCAGGAAAGTGGGTAGAAAATGACAATAAAACAGAAGCACCAAAAAGATGCTACAGTCACAGACTCCCAAAAGAGGCATACAAAGCGGCTTTGGTTCCTGATAGTTCAGCAGCTCCAGGAAAGCTCAACTTATTGTCCAATGGTTAAAAGTCCTCAATTTTGATAAGCCTCACTGATTACATCCTCCCAAAGTACACTCACTTTTCATAAGTGAAGTTTCTATGTCACATAACCAAAAGAGCTAATTAGAATTCACTTTTAATAAATGTTATTGTTCCTCATCTTAGTTACGACAAAAGCTGAAATATTTTGTTATTGTTGTACATCTCTTACCTTATTCTTTCAGTGGGAGGTCCAGTGTAGTGCAATGGATTGAGGTATTCTCTGGAGCAAAATTTACCTACTTCATCCACCCAATGGCCTGTTAATGTTGGCGGACAAACCACTAAGGAAGGAAGTGGCATACATTCTGCCAATTTTGATCTTGCATATTCCTGGGCCCTTTACAATAGCAAAACACAATAAATTAACCAGCTTGTTTACATTTCTCCAAATCTGGAAACCTTATTTTAAAATAACATCTTACATTACCTATGACAATGATCTCCTGCTAGAATGCAGATGGACTGTAAAGTTTTTCCTAAACCCATGTCATCACACAGAATTCCATGAAGTTTATACTTATTAAGGAATGCCAACCAGTTCACACCATCCTGTTAGAGAGAAAAATCATAAATGTGAATACACCATAAATTTATTTTTTCTTATAAACATGTTTGCACAAAACAAAAATCTTTCTATACGCAAAAGTGAAATAAATGGGTATAAGACACTAAACACAAGATTTTACTAAATCAATTTTACAAAATGCTTTAAGGCCAGCTATGGTGACTCACATCTCTAATCCCAGCACTTTGCGGGGCTGAGGTGGGAGGATCACTTGAAGCCAGGAATTCAAGACCAGCCTGGGCAACAAAATGAGAACCCTGCCCCTACCAAAAAAAAAAAAAATAGCTGGCCATAGTGGTGCACATGCATAGTCCCAGCTACTCCGGAGGCTGAGGTGGGAAGATGGCCTGAGTCCAGGAGTTTGAGGCTGCAGTGAACCATGATTCTGCCACTGCACCCCAGCCTAGGCAACGAGCAAGAACCTGTCTCAAAAAATAAAAAAAACGCCACAAGGCTTCAACATTCATTTGAAAGGAAAACTCACTATTCCTATTTACAAGATAAGTATAAAACTTACCTGCTGATATTTTCTGAGTTCAGCATTGATTGGTACTGGAATTTTATAATTTTCCAATTTTTTCCCATCTAACAATTGCTCCAAAAAGTGTCGCTCCTTGGCTTTCAATTGGATTAATTCTGCTGACATGTTTGGAGGGTCTGGAATGCCTGCCTAAAATGATTTTTTTTAAGTTATTAAAAACTATGTACTCAGTTTTCATTCTTAGATCAAATAAACACAACAAAACAAACACACAGAAAAAATAATTCTGAAAATTGTACAAAGACTTGAAGACAAATGAGGTTAAAGAAATTGACAAGTATTAAAGGTGCTACAATTTGACTACTAAGTAAACACATATGGAATATCTGAAAGACCACAATCTACAACTTTATTTTCCCACACCATGCATTATTTGATGAAGGGGCATATAAAGTTGCATAGTTTATTTTGAATTAAATACTATTACTGGCACTTCTCAATTTTACTGTTCTGATACCCTACGGTATTAGTTCTCAAAATGTGGTCTGCACGACCCCTATGGATCTCTAAGACCTTTTCAACTATTTCATAATAAAAGGAGAACATTATTTGCTTTGAATCACTGTGTTGACATTTGTGTGGATGTTGCAAAAGTTGTAACGAAGAAAACTGCCTGTACTTCAGAAAGAATCAAGGCAATGGCACCAAAATGTGCTAGCAGTCATATTTCTTAGAACCATACATTAGCATTTTTTCAAATAGCCAGTGTTACTTTAAAATGTCCTTGATAAGCCAGGTGTGGTGGCTCACACCAGTAATCCCAGCACTTCGGGAGGCCGAGGCAGGTGGATCACTTGAGGTCAGGAGTTCGAGACCAGCCTGGCCAACATGGTGAAACCCTGTCTCTCTACTAAAAATAAAAAAATTAGCTGGGCACGGTGGTGTGCACCTGTAGTCCCAGCTACTCCCAGGCTGGCAGGAGAATTGCTTGAACCTGGGAGGTAGAGGTTGCAGTGAACTGGGATTATGCCATGGCACTCCAGCCTGGGTGACAGAGCGAGATTCCATCTCAAAAAAAAAAAAAAAAAGACAAAAAATATGATAAAGTAGTAAAAATGATCTATTTTAATAAATCTCAACCCTTTAATGCATGTCTTTTTTAACATTCTGTGAGAAAAAAACTGTGAATTCTGCTGCTTATCAAAGTACACTCTATTGAGAAGCTGAACTAGCCATTAAAAAAAGACCCAAATATGAAGTCTTTAATACTCCAAGAATTTCCCTGACAAACTCAATAGTGTTTATATTACATATCCATCTTGGATGTACCCAACCATATGTTTTGTTGGTGGTTGTTTCATATTCTTAAAATAAAGATTTATGGGTATTAAACCTGGAAACACCAGATAATACTTACTACTTAGATTTAGACAAACTGTGCCCAGGAGAAAGTATATTAACATAGCCATTTTTTAATGGAACAACATTTTACTTGAAAGGACTGATAAACTATGGATATTCTGAGTTTGGTATTTGGCTGACATTTTCTCAAAAATGAACCTGTCACTTCAAGGAAAACAACTGACATTAACTTCTTGTCACTGATAAAATTCGTATTTACAAGATAAATTGACCGTTTCCAATAAAAACAATTTTCTGCTGTTGATAATAAACATGATTTTAAAAAATATTATATAATGAATTGTGTCCACCTGTGGAAGATTTACGTAACTCAATGAACCAATATTTTCCAAATGACTGATGCATAATGTTACAAAACATGTATTGATAATAAAAGATTCATTCAAAAGTATAAGACATACTTACCTGGAAGGGCAGATAAAATGATCACAAAAGTGTAAGACAAACCAATGAATTTCAATGTAAGACAGCATGAAACATTCATTGATAGGATTTAGATTCTATATTGCACATAACACTTAACAAACTTTCTCTTTTTGAGTTCTGGTATGCTATCAGATAAAATAATATCCACAATTATTTGAGAAGGCTGTCAAAATATTGCTCCCTTTTCTAACTATCTCTGTGAGGCTGGACTTCCTTTATATATCCTGAGCCAAAACATAGTGCAACAGACTGAATGCCCAAGCAAACATGGGAATCCAGCTATCTACCATTAAACCAGAAATACTGGCCGGGTGTGGTGGAGGAATGAGCCCAGGAGTTTGAGACCAGCCTGCGGAACATAGTAAGACCCCATCTCTACAAAAAATTTAAAAAATAGCCAGGTGTGGTGACACAGGACTGTAGTCCCAGCTTCTTGGGAGGTTAAGGCAGGAGGATCGCTTGAGTCCAGGAGAGGCTGAGGCTGCAGTGAGTTGTGATTGTGCTGCTGTACTCCAGCCTGGGTGACACAGTAAAACCCTGTTTCAAGGGGAAAAAAAAAAAAACCCAAAAAAACAAAAACAAAAACCAGACATAAAAAAGATTTGCAACAGTATAAAACAATGTCACTCTTGTCACTCACACATTGTTTTAGAAAAGTTATTTTTCGTCAAAAAAGTTAATTATGTTAACATGTAGGTTTGTTATTTAAATGTATTTAAAAATTTCCCAGTTTTAATATCTATTACAGAAAATATTATAAACAACAGCTCTTTGGTGTCAATTTTTAAGAGTGTAACAAAGTACTGACACAATAATCTATCTAAAAAAGAAATCAAGAAAACAATCCCATTTACAATAGCAACAAAAAAAAAATAGGAATAAATTTAAGGAGGTGAAAGATCTATACACTGAAAGTTATAGAACATTAATGAAAGAAACTGCTGGGGACACAAATAAATGGACATAAATATGGAAAATAAATGTTCTTGGGCTGGAAGAACCAATATTGTTAAAATGTCCATACTACCCAAAACGATCTACAGATGTGATGCAATCCCTACACTGCACTGAGAATCCCTAATCCCCAAAATTCCAGTGGCATATTTTACAGAAGTAGAAAAAGCAATCCTAAAACTCATATGGTTCTCTATTATCCCTCTGAATAAGCTTTCTATAAAAACAAACAAAAAAAACTCAGGTTGAACCACAAAAACCCCCGACAGCCAAAGCAATCTTGAGCAAAAGGAACAAAGCTGGAGGGATCACACTACCTGATTTCAAAATATACTACAAAGCTATAGTAATCAAAAGAGTATGATCCTGGCATAAAAGCAGACAAAGACCAATGGAACAGACTGGAGAGACCAGAAATAAATGCATGTATTTACAGTTAATCTTTGACAAAAGAACACACAAGGGGGAAGGACAGCCTCTTCAATAAATGGTGTTGGGAAAACTGGATATTCACACACAGAAGAACGAAACTGGACCTTTGTATCTTACACCAAGTACAAAACTCAGGTCACAACTGATCAAAAAATTAAACATAAGACTGGAAACTATAAAATTACTGGAAAAAAAATAGAAAAAAGCCTTTTTGACACTGGTCTGGGCAAATTTTTTGGATATGACTCCAAAAGCACAAGAAACAAAATCAAAATACAGGCCAGTCATGGTGGTTCACCCCTGTAAATCCCAGCACTTTGGGAGATTGAGGCAGGAGCACTGCTTGAACCCAGGAGTTTAAGACCAGCCTGGGGTAAACAGAGGGAGACCCCATCTCTACACAAAATAGTTAGCTGGGCATGGTGGCACACACCTGAAGTCCCAGCTACTTGGGAAGCTGGGGTAGGAAGATCACTTGAGCCCAGGAGTTCGAGGCTGCAGTGAGCCATGATCATACAACTGCACTCCAGCCTGGGCAACAGAGTGAGACCTTGTCTCAAAAACAAAAACCCAAAATCAAAATATAGGTTGAGCATCCCAAATCCAAATACCGAAAACATTGTTAATGCCAGCATGACAGATGAAGGAAACGCTCATTGGTGCATTTCAGATTTCAGATTTTCAGATTAGGGATGCTCAACTGGTAAGTATAATGCAAACGTTCAAAAATCTGAAATCTTAAATACTTCTAGTCACAAGCATTTCAGATAAAGGATACTCAACATAGACAAATGGGACTGCATCAAACTAAAAAGCTTTCTGCATAGCACAAGAGACAATTAACAGACTGAAGAGACAACCAACAGCATGGGAAAAATTATTTGTGAACCATAAATCTTGATAAGGGGTTAGTATCTAAAATATAAAAGGAACTCAACTCAACAGAGAAAAAATAAGATTTAAAAATGGGCAAAGGACCTGAATAGGTATTTCTTCAGAAAAAAAAAAAAAAATACACACACACACACACACACACACACACACACAGAGCCAACAGACATATGAAAAAATGCTCAACATAAATCATCAGGGAAATACAAATTAAAACTGGTATGAGATATTACCTCACAACTGTTAGAATGGCTATTACTAAAAAGACAAAACGTGTGGAGGAAGATGTGGAGAAATGGGAACCCTTGCATACTGTTGGTGGGAATGTAAATTAGTACAGCATTATGGAAAACAGTATGGATGTTACTCAAAAAACTAAAAATAAAACTACCATATAATCTAGCAATCCCACTTTTGGTTATATATCCAAAGGAAATGAAATCAGTACACTGAAGGGATATCTGTACTTCTGTGTTCATTGCAGCATTATTCACAATAGCTTAGATTTGGAATCAACCCAAGTGTTCGTCTATGTGATGAACGGATAAAGAAGCTGCAGTGTATCTATATATAATTGGATACTATTCAGCCTCTAAGAAGGAAATTTTGTGACACCATGAATAAACCTGGATGACATTATGCTAAAGGAAACAAGCCAGGCACAGAAAGACAAATATTATGTGACCTCACTTATATGTGGAAATCTAAAATGTCAAACTCATGGAAGCAGAGTAGAAGAGTGGTTGCTAGGTGCTTAGTAGGTGGAGGGGAGAGGACTGAGGGGAGATGGACAGATGTTGGTTAAAGGGTACAAAGTTTATTTAGAATGAATACATTCTGTAGATCTGTATAGCATGGTGACTACAGTTAATGATAATGTACACTTGGAAACTGCTAAAAGATTAAAATTTAATTAAATGGGTTTTCACCACAAAAAATGATGAGTGTATGAACTAAGATATATTAATTGGTCTGATATATTTCACAACATCATTTTGGACACCATAACTTTTTTTTTTTTTTTTGAGACGGAATCTCACTCTGTCGCCCAAGCTGGAGTGCAG